GCTGGTGAGCTTGAACCACCAACCTTGAGATTCAAACTGACTTTGTAGTCCAGAGCATTAACCCACAGTGCCACACCAGGAGTCTATACATATATATGGACACAGAAAACGAGATTGTGATTCCATATCCAACATTACAAGTAGTTTTTTTTTTTTTTTCAAATATTTTATTAAACAGCTAGGGAGATACAAAGTTTATAAAACATGGTCAAGAAGGTGGGTAAAGGCACACATATAGAGAGCAGAATACATTCACTGAATCACAGCAGTCAAAACAAAGTGCTTTGAAATGAAGAATGAGATTGCATCTAGTCTGCAAGGGGTCAAGGGTGGATGGCAAGTCAGGAAAGGGAAATGAGATTAAAATAGAAGACTTCAGTCTGGATTCTTGATGATACTCAGTATGGACTATAATTTTTCTCTCTTCTTTTCCTCTCCCCTTATTTGGGTTTAATTTATCAGTAGTGCCCAGGGCTGTTCAATGTACTTTTTCTATACTTGCTTTCATTTTTGCTTTGATGTCTTTTATAACACTAGATCCTTCTTGGTGTTTTAGGAGTTTTTTCCTGTTTTTTGAAAGGTTCTTGACCTTTTGATCTTGGTGTTGATGTTTTTGAGTCTTTTCCTCTGGTTTGATTCTTGTGCATTTTTGGCTGGAGTATCCTGTATAGATTTCTTCACTGGAAATTTTTCTTCAGTTTCATCATCATCAAAATCATCATCATCATCATTATCATTGTATTCATCATCGTGTCATTGTCACCATCTTCTTCATCTGTAGCAAGTTTTACTTTTTTCTGTGGAACCTTGTTAGCACTTGCAGGATCAGATTATTTTCCTGATATAGTTAAGATTTTCACATCTTCCTCTTCTTCATTATCTGATTCTGTACCTTCCTCCACAACTACTAAGAGCTGGCCACTTATATGCACAGGCCTTGAGCCACAAGTGGTGTTATTTCAAAGCCCCAAAGGGAAGATGTTAGCTGTATAGACATTTTCAAAGTTGCCAGTGTTGCTTCATTGGAGTACCTACATAATTCATTGCCTCTGCTTCAACAATGTGCAATTCATCCTTTGTGCCAGTCCCTAAACTGTCCATTCTTAAAGATAACTAACTGGTGCTCATTTTAATCATTATCTACTTAAAGTAATAATCTTTGTCGGCTTTGCATTCACAACTGAAAAGATTGTTTTGGAACCTCATTGGAATCATGTCCATATCCATTGAATCCTCTATGGGGTGGTGGTAGTGGAAAAGAAGGATGGACACAACCATCATTACTGAAAACAGCCATGCAGGAATGAATTACACCACGCACTAGTAGATTTCTTACAAACATCCCAAACTTAAAATGCTTAAAACTGAATTCTAATTTTCCATCCCCATTACTCCCAAACCCACTCCTTCCCCAGTATCCTGTAGTTCAATTCATCCATCTGCTAAACCAAAACCTTAGACTTACCTTTGACTTCCCCATTTCTGTCATATCTTACATCTAATTTACTAGCAATAAGATTGGCATTTTAAAAATATAAGACCACCTTGTCACTTTCCTTCTAAATTGCTCCAATAATTTACCATCCCTCTCAGAGTTGCTTAAAGTCATTGTTGAACTATGAGGCCTCTTGACCTGGCTTTATGTCCCTGACTTTATCACAAATGATTAATAAAAACTGTTATTTTACAAATGATGATTAGCTGTCAATTTTTTTCATGGTTCTGAAATATATTTAATCACTTAAAATCAATTCATACAGTAGTCCACAAATGAAATTTTTTCCAAAGCTAGGCTAAGCTGTAGGTACAGTAGGCTAAGCACTGCACTGCTAACCACAAGATTGGTACTTCAAACTTGCCAGCTGCTCCTCAGATACGCTATATAGGGTTTCTGTGAATCAGAAATAACTGGAAGGTGCTTAGCAAGAGCAATCTTTCTTGTCCACTCTGTTCTAATCACATTGGGCTTCTTGCTTTTTTTCAACATACCAGGCACGCTGTCACCACAGGACTTTATCAATTGCCATTTCTTGTGCCTGGAATAGTGTTTTTCCAGTTTTACTTGCTCTCCTACTTCTTTTGGGGTCCTGGTGTGATGCTGTAGGATAAGCACTGGACTTCTAACCACAACATTAGTGGTTCAAACCCATATGCTGCTCCTTAGAAACCCTATACGTTTACAAGAAATGGGCTATTTCTTCACTACCCTATCTAGAAATTCTGCATCCCCACCAATCCTTTTCTCTGCTCTCTGTCTTATTTTTACCACTTGATGGTGGTGGTGGTATTGTGCCGTGGAGTTGGTTCTGACTCATAGTGATTCTGCATAGGGTTTCAGAGGCTATAAATCTTTACAAGAGCAGAATGCCTCGTCTTTCTCCCACAGAGCAGCTGGTAGTTTCAAACTGCTGACCTTTAGGTTAGCAGCCTGACTCGTAACCACTACATTTTCTTCTTTCTAATATACTGCACACTTAGTTATATTTTTTTTTTCTTTATCATATCTCTCACTATCGGAAATAATACTCCATGAATATATCGGTGTTTTGTTTACCACTTTCCTTCATGCCTAGAACATAGTATGCATAGTATGATGCTGGTGGTGGTATGCCATGAAGTCAGTTCTGACTCATAATGACCCTACATAGGGTTTCAGAGGCTATAAATCTTTATTGGAACAGAATGCCTCATCTTTCTCCCATGGAGCCACTGGTAGCTTCGAACTGCTGACGTTGAGATTAGCAGCCTGAATGTACTCAATAAATTTCAGGTCGATAAGTTGTCTGATGGAACAGATTTGTAACTAAATCTATATGTGATCTCTGGGTCAATTTAACCATGATTGCTTATTTGATCAAGATGACTTTTTCAAATAAGAAATGATGTACAAAATTATCATATCTTAGGTATTGTTCTAGGTGTTATTTTGTTTAATCCCTCTTTTATATATAAGAAGATCATGTGATATAGGTCAACTTCTAGTGTGATTTGGACTTCTGGTATGGTGCTATAGGATAAGCACTGGACTGTGAACCTCAAGGTGGTTCAAACCCACCAGCTTTTCCTCAGAAACTCTATATAGGGTCACTCTGAGTGGAAAACAGCTTAAAGGCACTGAACAACAACAACTAGTGAGATTGTATGCTATATACAACCTGAGTTTAAGATAATTGAATATTTGAAATCAAACAGATTGGTAAAATTTATGTTTAAATAAATTTTTTAACAAATGTGCTTCTTCTTGGTTTGTGTTTGATACTCTTTACTGTGATTTTATTTTAGATGTCCTAGATTAGAGGGTGCTTGTACTCGCAACCCCTGCCAACATGGCGGCACATGTATGGATTACTGGTCTTGGCAGCAGTGTCATTGCAAGGAAGGGCTGACGGGTAAACACTGTGAAAAATGTAAGTAAAAAGTTCATCATCCAATAGGAATCATTATAACTCTGGAGTCTATAAATATAAAAGCTGAAACATGCAATTTAACTATAAAATTTACCTTTTCTTTCTTATATTGAAAATATTAAATGGGAGATTTTTGGTAAAATGTTGTGATATCTTCAATTTTACTTTTGTTTTACCTGAAGAAGAGTAACATCCTTGTTAAAGATTATTTAGCAACTAAATTATTATGCTCTATTTTAGAAATGATTCCTTCAGTTGTTTTTGTTTTACCTATAGGAATGGTAGGTAATTAGTAAGACCAGAGATCATATTCTGGCTTTGGTTTTATATTTTCTACATTTAGGGAAATATTTCTCTGATGATTTAGGGTGGTAGTAGAATTTTAAGTTTCAATGACTAGAATTGATTTTGAATATCATTTCTTTGATCATTTCATTACTTGTTTATTTTAAAACCTAATGCTATTATTAGGAGTCCTGGTGTACCGCTGTGTGTTAATGCCTCAGACTCCAAAACCATTTGAACTGCAAGGTCGGAGGTTCAAACTCATCAGCTACTCCTTGGAAACTGGTCGCTATTGGTCGGAACCTTCTCGACGACACTTAACAATAACAACAATGCTATTAGTAATAAGACATTGATTATCATTAAGCTATCATTGTTGTTAAATGCCCTAGAGTCTGTTCCAATTTCAAATTATATATCTCACTAACTGACCCTAATGGGTCCTCTGTTAAAAAGTTGGTTCATTTTCAAATAAATAGTTACTACTAAAATCATTCTTGCTATGTAATCATTTTGGGAGGAATTATTTGATGTGGTGCTGTGGGTTAATGCACTGGACTGCAAAATCATTTGAACCTCAAGGTTGGCTGTTCAAGCTCACCAACCACTCCTCAAAAACACTATAGAAGGTCACTATGGTTTGGAACTGGCTCAATGGTATTTAACAATGCCAATAACCTTCACATGACTGTCCAAATATCTAATATGTTGTTGTTATTAAGTGCCATAGAGTTGTTTCTGACTCATGGTGGTGGTGGGTGGTAGCTTTGTGCCGTGGAATCCGCTCCAACTCATGGCAACCCTGTGTAGGGTTTCCATGGAGAGGCTGGTGAGTTTGAACTGCTGATCTTGTGGTTCAAGTCAACCTTGCAATTGATTGCTTATCTCACAGTGCCGCAGCAGGAATGAAGTGTGAAAATCACAGCTTATTTCCACTATGGACGCATGTTCACTTGGACATTTTGGAAATATAGTAAAACTGATTATAGGTACATAGAAACTCCAATAGCAAAGAGTGATTTGATCCACATGCCAGTTCTTGTGGTTGCGAAATTCTGTACTAATACCATACAGTAGACAATCTTCAGGGTTGAACTTTACTTCCATTAATACTTTAAAGGACCCTATTCCAGAATTACTAAAGTAAATGCACAGTGAAACTGACTATAGAATAAACACATTTCATGTATTTATGATTTATATCATATACCGGCTATTTTAATGATCATTTCAGAAATGAGTAATAGCTGTAATGTTTTTCATGGTTCTGAAATACATTTAATCTATCAAATCAATTCATACAATAGTCCACAAGTGGATTTTTTGTTTTTTCAAAAGCAGACTTGGGGAGTTTAATTCCAAACAACTTAATATTTTCATTGTCCTGTTTCATTATTTTTGTCGGTGTAGAAATCCCTCTGAGAAATGTTAAGTGAAAGCATTTATTTATTTATATTCCTTTTTTTCCATTGGCTTTCAGCTATTACCCCTGACACTGCCTTATCATTAGAAGGCAAAGGACGCTTGGACTACCACATGAGTCAGAATGAGAAGCGGGAATATTTGTTAAGACAGAGCATACGCGGTGCCATGTTGGAGCCTTTTGGTGTGAACAGTCTGGAAGTAAAATTCAGGACAAGAAGCGAGAATGGCATTTTAATCCATATCCAAGAAAGCAGCAATTACACTACTGTGAAGGTAAGATAAAAGCTAATAGTGACTTCATTTGATTAGACCGCCTGCTGTGTCATGGTTTAAATCACTTCTCCCATAATTTCTGTCCTTTTCTTTACAACCCATTAGAGTTCCAACTAATGCTGGGCACTATTCCAATATCATCTATCTTAACTATTCCCCAGGGATTGGCCAGAGTAACAAAGATCTGAATGGTTTGGCTGCTAAACACTTTTGTCTTGTTTTAGAAAGCACTGCTAGGTAGGTCAACATGCAAAGAATTTCTTGCCATTTATTTTGTCAGAGAAAATTTTGTATTTTTCTGTTTTAAAATAAAACAATAAGATCATGTGTCTTTGAAAGGAAGAGATATTGTTCTCAAAGAATTATTCCAAACACTGGTTATATGTATAGAAATTGATAAGATTAAAATAAAGAAAAAAAATAAATTATCTGAATTTATTCTAGTACTTATACTCAATGGACTATTTAGATAAAACTTGTACTATTAGGGATTTTTGTTAAGTAAAATTTAAGCAAATTTCCTGCAAATAATTTTTAGAAGAATAGCTCTTAAAACACCTAACATTTATTGAGAATAATGTATTTTTTCTAATTCTTTCTTTTCTTATCAGTAAATAAATATAATTACTAGATCAAGGAATAATTTTATTTGATACGCATTTGTCATCACCTTTTAGCTTTCTTAATCTTTTAATTTAATCTGCTTTTTTGGACAAAATCTTCAGTTCCTTGACAACCAGCTCTTTGGTTCAGTAATTTGGACTACATTTCATTGATGACATTTTTTGTGTTATAACTATATAAATAATTTTTATATGAATTTTAGTAAATTCTTAGGAAAAAATACCAAATTTTTTCAATTACTTTCACTTATTAACCAATATTTTGAAAATTACCAGAAGATTACTGTATGATGAAAAAGGGTAAAATTGACAAATAGTAGGTCTAATTTGCAAATAATATTTTTGTTGTTGCTGTCAAGTTGATTCCAACACATAGTTACCACACCAGAATTCCTCACAAATAACACTAAAAATAAAAACAAATGT